AATAATACACATTTTTTTAATACACATTTTGTTTAAAGATGTACAAGGCACATTCTGTTTAATCCAAAGCTTGAGGTAGTTTGAGAGTTGCTAAGCACTGTAGGAAACATGCACTAACTGGATCCCGGCATGTGTGTGCCGCTCCTTCTGTCCTAGGCTTGCGGGGTCCCAGCAGGACACTTGGTTTGGTTCCTGTCTTCCCCACCTCCATCGGTGTGGCTCTGTTTCATCATGTTTTCCGTTTGTAGTCCGGCGGGTTCATTTGTTAGTGTTCATGCCGTTTGGGGTTCTCTGACGTCTTGGGGGTGTATCTGTGTGTCAGGAGTGTCTTTGAAGGGCATGTGCAGCATCACTGGGGTTCTGAGAGTTACTGTTGTTCAAAAAGGTTTACGCAGAGTGTTGTCCTTCCTCATCCCTGCTACCCCGTTCTCGTTTCCTCTTTTTTTCCCACCACTTTCCTTTCCCACTCACCCCTTACATGTAACCAGTCTCTTTAGTTTCTAGTTTATCCTTGCTGTGTCTCTTCCTGCACAAGTGAGCAGATACATGTGTATTTCCTTTTATCTCCTTTTTTCATACCTGACGGGCAGCCCACTGCAGATTATCTTGCATTGTGCTTCGTACAGTTACTCCATGCTGGTTCAGAGATCGTCCTCATTTTCTTCTTTTTTTTTTAGCTTCATGATGCACCGTTTTGTGAACATACAGCCACTCTGTATATGGGCATTTAGAGCGTTTCTAGGATTTTGTATTCACAAAGGCAGTGAATGACTGTAGGCATATATGTGTTTTTGTATTGTTGGTGGTATATTTTCAAGGTAGAACTCTAGAAGTGGGATTGCTGGACCAGAAACATGAGCAAGGATATGTGTGTGACTCAAACAGGAGGAAGCACCAGGTAAACCTACTCGAGGGACATCCTGCAGACTGAGTGACCAGCACCCTTTAAAATGTCACGGTTGTGAAAGACCTGAGGAGACATGGCAGGTAGATGAAACGGGGATCTTGGATTAGATCCTGGAACAGACAAAGGATATTATTTGGGTAATTGGCTTAACTTGAAGGTGACCTGTAGACTAGCTGGGTTTTTGTATGTGTGTGTGTGTATGTTTTTATTGAAGTGTAGTCAGTTTACAATGTTGTGTCAATTTCTGGTGTACAGTATAATGCTTCAGTCATATATAAACATACATATATTCATTTTCATGTTCTTTTTCACCATAAATTACTATGAGATATTGAATATAGTTCCCTGCATTATACAGCATGAACTTGTTTATCTATTCTATATATATGTATCAGTTAGTATCTTCAAGTCTCTAACTCCCAATTTATCCCCTCTCACCCCCGGCCCCTGGTAATCACAAGATCTCTATGTCTGAGAGTCTGTTTCTATTTTGCAAATAAGCTCGTTTGTCTTTTTTTTAGATCCCACATATAAGTGATGTCATATGGTATTTTTCTTTCCCTTTCTGGCCAGATTAGTTTTATAGTATTGTGTCAATGTTAATTTTCTGGTTTTGATAACTGTATTATGGTCATAAATGGTGTTAATATTTGGGGAAGCTCGTGAAAGACATGAGAACTCTGTACTATTTTTGAAAGTCTGAAATTGTTTCGGATATAAAGTTAAGTCTTCTAAAGGATGGGTGAATTCACATTAGGATCCAAACCTTTACAATCAGTTAGTTATATTTTAGGGAATCAATAGAATAATTAATTTTAACCTTCCATCTTAAATAATCACATTTAATAAAAACTGTTTACCTGATGGCATTCTTCCTTTTTTTCCCCTCTGTCCTTCTCCGTTTATATCTTATGTTGAGACTTTTCAACTCCTGAGTGAATATTTCAAATTCCTCACCTGATATACCAACTTTTTATTTAGTTTTAGTGGCAGGCAGGAGACTCCTCTTTCTGTGGCAGTTGTCTTCGAGTATTCAGAGAAGTTTCAGGCCTTTGTTTTAATCCCCATCACTGCAGCTCCCCAGTTAAAGATCTCTGATGACCGGCTGACTGTGGTTGGAGAGAAGGGCTACTCTATGGTTCGGGCTTCTCACGGGGTTCGGAAAGGTGCCTGGTACTTTGAAATCACTGTGGATGAGATGCCACCGGACACTGCTGCCAGGCTGGGTTGGTCCCAGCCACTAGGTGAGCTGGGGCTATAATAATGGATGGTGGGGAGAGAGGTATAAACCAGCTGGCTAAGCTTCACAACTTCTGAGGTTACTGGATTGTGGGCATAAAATTCAATTCCTGAATTGAATTTTGTGGTTTGTAATTCCTGGGAATATTTTTATAATTCTTTGCTTGTGAGAAATTGTTAGCACTTTTACAAAATTGGCAAAAACAAACCAAAGAAAGAGTAGGATCTTTTCCTTTAGCAAACCAGAGGTGACTTGCATCCTGACTGCCTGTATATGTTTTTATTGGGACAGGTAACCTTCAAGCTCCCTTAGGCTATGATAAATTTAGCTATTCTTGGCGGAGCAAAAAGGGAACCAAGTTCCACCAGTCCATCGGCAAACATTACTCATCTGGCTATGGGCAGGGAGACGTCTTGGGATTTTATATCAATCTGCCTGAAGACACAGAGACAGCCAAGTCACTGCCTGATACCTACAAAGATAAGGTGAGTCTGTCCTCCTCAGAGATGACTGGGTTTGAAGACCTGTGGCAGCCAGTGCCTGCAGCTATGTGTTCTCTTGTGAGGCTGATTCATCTTTCACAGCTTTCCCCAACATTTCTTTATGAAAATTTTGAGACATAACAGAGTTGAAAGAAGTTAAAAGTCGGTGTCCAAATACCCATCACCTAGATTCTGCCATTAACATTACCCGTTCATTCCTCCACTCACCCACCCACTCATCCATCCTATCTTTGTTAATGCACTTAGGAGAATGCTGCAGCTGTCAGTACAGCCCTCCCCACCCTACTCCCCACAAGTGCTTCAGGATCCGTATCATTAAATAGAGTTAAACTTTTGTTTATTTTTTTCTTTTGATATAAAATTTACATAAAACAATGTACAAATTTTACATAAAATGAAACATACACATTTTAAGTGTACGCTCACTTGAGTTTGGCGTTTGACCCAAACCCCTGTGGAGACGTAGAATCTTACACCACAGGAAGTTCGCTCACACTCTTCCCAGTCATTCCCAGCTCCCACCCTCAGTGAGGCAGCCACTGGTTTGAATTTCTTTCCCCCATCATAATTCTATTCCATTAGTCTTGCTTGTTCTTGAACTCGTATGAATGGAACCATGCAGTGTGCAGTCTTTTGTTCGTGGTTTTTATTGTTCAGCATAACGCTTTTGAGATTCTTCCATGTTCTTACACGAATCTGTAGTTTGTTCTTTTATACTGCAGGGTAGTTTCCATTGTATGTCACCACAGTGTGCTTATCCATTTTCCTATTGATGGACACTTGGGCCATTTCAAGTTTGGGGTTATTATAAAGTTGCTATGAATAGTCTTGTACAGATCTTTTTGTCAACATGCTTTTTTTTTTTAAGGTGATTGAGACTATTTTTTTGACCTTTATGGAGGGGAGTTACTCATTTATTTTATTTATTTTAACTTTTGGAGGAGGTACTGGGGATCAAACCCAGGACTTGTGCTTGATAAGCATATGCTCTACCACTTGAGTTATACCCCGCCTCAGCCGCCCCTGTTTTCATTTATTTTTAGTCATTGCCTAGAAGTGGAATTGCTGGGTCAGTGTACATTTAGTTTTACAGGAAATTGGCAGACTCTCCACTCGCACTAACAGTGTATGACAATTTTGGTTGTTCCATGTCCTTGCCAGCATTTGTTGTCTGTCAGCTTAATTTTAGCCATTTTGGTGGGCGTGCAGTAGTGTCTCGTTTGGTTTAAATTAGCATTCTTTGATGACTAATGATATTGAGCAGTTTTTCGTATGGTTATTGGCTATTCATCAGTCTTTTGTGAAGTTTCTATTCAGATATTGTGCCTTTTTAAAAACTTGGGTTGTTATTTTTAATGAGTTGTTGTTCTTCATATATTCTGGATTATAGACCTTTGTTGGAATTGACTTTTTAAAAAATATTTTTCTCCTACGCTTGTGACTTGCCTATTCATTCTCTTGATGGTGTCTTCTGATGAACTGAAGATTTTAATTTTTATGAAATCTAGCTCGGATTTTTCTGTTTGGTTTTCTGTTTGTTTTTGTTTGGGGGAGGAGGTAAGTAGGTTTACTTATTTTAATGGAGGTACAGGGGGTTGAACCCAGGACCTCGTGCATGCTAAGCACACACTCTACCATTGAGCTATACCCCCTTCTCAGATTTCTCTTTTACAAGTCTGTTGCTTTCTGTGAATTAATCTCTGCCTGCCTCCAAGTCATGAAGATACTCTTCCATGTCTTCTTGGGAAACATGGTTTTTAGCTTTTACATTTTAAGTTTTTGATCCACCTTGAATTAACTTTTGTGTATGATGTGGAATAGGGGTCAAGGTTAATTTTTTTTCTGTGTGGTTACTCATTTACTCTAGCACCATTTTGTGAAAATCAAATAACTGTAAGTGTTCTGGTCCTGGGCGCTCTGTTCAATTGACATATTTGTTGACGCTTACGCCAGCACCACACTGCCCTGACGATTGTAGCTTTAGGGTAAGTCATTAAGTCAGGTAGGGTCTGTTCTCCGAGCTTGTTCTGGTAATCAGCAGTCAGACCACGATGTATTATTGGTGGTATCAGTGTTGACTGCCATCACCCCTCCTGCCACCGAGAACCTTAAACCACATGAATTCCTGGTTGTACCATACACAGAGGTCTGCAGTTACCTTGAGGATACTGTATGAGTGTAAAATTATTTATTTTTACTTATAATAATTTGTTTTTAATTTAAATGAGCAACTAATATGTCCATAAAACAATGCTATGGATCTGTTCAAAAGCGACCTCTAAACTGATACAAAATGACCTTGGTATATATTGTTGAATGAAAAAGGCAAGATGCAAAACAGAATATATAGTATGTTATCATTTCTATGCCCTTTTTTGCTTTTTTTTTTTGTTTTTTTGCCTGGTGTGGTCTTAATTAGTTTTTTTTTTTTTTTTTTTGGCAATATTAACATAGGCCTAGACTTCGTAGAAAGATAATAGGACACTGGAACTGCAGTTGCTTTTGGCTACAGGAAACTGAGTATTGAGGGACATGGTGAGAGGGGAGAGATTCTCTTCAATTCTATGTTCTTGTATAGCGTTTGAGCTTTTTCTCACCATACTTAATATACGTATGTGCAAGGAAATTCAAACATTTTTTTTAAATGCCGTGTATTTATCTGAGAGTGAATAGTTACTTAGACTGTTGGGAACCAATAAGAAAGGAGTGACCCCAAGACCACCTGTGGGGGAAACTGGTACGAAACTAGGAGGGAAATGCCCTCAAAATCTTAGTAAGGGCCTTTTGTGAAAATGTGTAACAAACCTGTGCCATCTGTTAATTTTTAAGAAGCACATAGTTCACAGTCTAACAAAGCTGACTCTGCAAAGATTTTTAACTTCTGTTCAGAACATAAGGACTCAGGACTCAGTGCTATTTGTGTGAATCTGGCTTTTTTAAAAATTTCATGATGATGTAGCTAATGCTTTAATGTTCCTTTTCTTTCATTCTCTCTTGGTTTTCAAGGCTTTGATAAAGTTCAAGAGTTATTTGTATTTTGAGGAAAAAGACTTTGTGGATAAAGCAGAGAAGAGCCTAAAGCAGACTCCCCATAGCGAGGTGAGTCACGGGCAGCAAAATGTCAGAATTAGAAGACTCTGAAGACAGAAGACCCCTTATTATAGAAGAGAGGACAGTGAGGCCCACGAGGGGCAAAGGGGTATCCACTGACGCAGCACAGAGCCAGTGCGCTCTCCTGCCTGCTGTGTTTGGCCCTTTCTGGGGTGCCTGCTGCTGCCAGGGGAGGGGTGACCTGGGTTCTTAGAGAAAAGGATATAAAACAGCGGTCAAATAAGAATGTCTGTGAGCAGGTGAGGAAGCAAGTCCAAGATGCTTATTCCTTATCAGAGGAGAAGTCAAGTCAAAGGGAGGAACCCTGGAGGAGAGGCTTGGCCTCGCTGGGTGACCCCGGGGTGGCAGGAGCTTGAAGTCTCCTTCAGTGTCTTCAAGAACTTTCCCTCTGTCCTTTCTCCTTGGTGGTTGGGAACATGTCTGCCCAAGGTCACAGCACAATAAAGAAGGGCTGGTACCTCTGCCCTGGCCATTGGGGCCACAAGCAGACAGAGGCAGGGAGGAAGGCAGCTCTGAGCTGGAAACATTTTTTTCCATAAGAAAACTGTGAAGCCACCTGCGACAGTAATAGAAGTGGATGTGGGAGAAGTAAACCAGGGTTCCATTTGTTTCTAGGGAAAAAATAGTAGAGGGAAACAGTTAATCGCTCTAAGGATGATACAGCCAGAAAATACAGCCAGGCAGAAGATAGCGCTTGCTGGGAGAAGAGGCAGAGAAAGTTCCTTCAGAAAAAGTAGGCTTTTCTGAAGTCCATTTGTAGGGTGAAGGGAGAATGTTCAGGATGGTTTCAAGAGAGAAAGGGCAAAGAAATGAGAATTCAGAGACTTTGACAGGAGATCCTACAAGATTTTCAAAGTAGAAACGCAGAAGTAAGACCCTGAGGCCAGGGAAGGGGGACAGATAGATAAATAAGCTCAAAAGAGTCTAGTTCCAAGGGATCAGTGGAAACGGCCGATTACTTTTTTTTTCCCCCAGTCTTTTTTGGGGGGTGGGGTGGAGATTAGGTTCACTTATTTATTTATTTTTAGAGGAGGTAGCGGAGATTGAACCCAGGACCTTGTGCATGCTAGGCATGCATGCTACCAATTAAGCTATATCCTCCCCGGACCAATTACTTTTTATAAATGCAATCTAATGAATAATAGAAGGTAGAACCGTTTGGTATCAGTAGCAGAGGAATTCAGAAATTCCTGAGGACCAACTGGAATAGAGTACGTAGACAGACTGAAAAATCCGAGGTATTACATGAATGTCAGGCATGCCTGTTACACAAGCTGTGTGCTGTTCTTCGAATTCTTTAGCAGTCCTGTCACCAGACTGGTGATAAAGGATTCTCCAGCTTCATTCTTTTTTAATTTAAATTCTGAAGTAGAACTGTGGTTTTTGTTTCAGATAATTTTTTATAAAAATGGTGTCAATCAAGGTGTGGCTTACAAAGATATTTTTGAGGGGGTTTACTTTCCGGCCATCTCGCTCTACAAGAGCTGCACGGTACGTATTATCATCTGTTCATCCCATGAGCAGGACTTGACAGAGAGAGGTGAATGGTTGCAGTGAAAGAGCCATTGATCAGCTTTTAGAAAGAAATCTGAAAAGCCTAGGAGTGAGATGAGAATGTGTTCCTGCTTTTACTGTTTGTTCCCAAAACACATGGGTGCTTCACCAAGAATTTGCTTGGATAAATAAAGATCATGGAATGATTGTAACACATACTTTTCCTTTGGAGATTACTGTGGTAAATGTTACTGTTCAGTGTAAAGGATGTAAAGTATATACGGACACAAAGCAATTTGATGTTACATGCCATGCTAACCGACCATTAATAACTTACTTATATTGATTTTCTTTTTTTAAAAATACGATCCAGCATGAAGAGGAATATTATTAGAGCCTCTTAGTTTAAAGAAAAAACTTAATTTGAAAAGGCAGTGCCTGGAAACCTCCATGTCCTTTCATGCTGTCAGTAGCTGCCACTGAAGTGATACAAAGAAATCCTTAGGTTAGAAACAGAAATCAACACAGGTCTGTTTTATTTACCTGATACCGGGTGGATATAGGGTATTGCCCACTTTTGGCAATATTAATATATATCGTTTGTTCCAGTTATACCCTGAAGATCACAGCTCCATTTAGAGAGGAAAATTTCCCTTGTCACATTTTAAGTTTTTCACTATCTTCTTCTGTTCCTTCGTGTCTGCCTGGATTGAATTTATCCTAGGTCTCCATTAACTTTGGACCGTGCTTCAAGTACCCACCAAAGGATCTCACTTACCGCCCCGTGAGTAACATTGACCATGTCTGCACGCCACCACCCCTCCCCCTCCAAGTCTCTGTTGCTTCTTGCTGCACTTACTCATCTCACCTCGTTTCTCCGTTCCCTGTTCCCCCCGCAGATGAGTGACATGGGCTGGGGCGCCGTGGTCGAGCACACTCTGGCTGATGTCTTATATCACGTGGAAACGGAAGTGGACGGGAGGCGGAGTCCCCCGTGGGAACCCTGACCACGTCCTTTTTTCTTGGCAGACACAGACTTTCTGGGGAATACTACGAGGGGGGTTTGGTTTTGTTTTTTTAACTGTCGCAAACATTTTCCCGAAGCTACCGCGGAACAGGCTCTGCGGCAGCAAATGAATGGCGGGGCCGGGTGTGACGCCTGCCCTTCGACACGCTCTCCCGTCTGTGACCGAAGGCTCTTACTTTGTGTGCCATATCCCAGCAGCTGCTGACCCCAGGGCCCCAGGAGCTCCCCGTGAAACCGGGGCTGTGCCATGTACCCCACCAGCCGAGCCCTGTTACCTTCCTGTGCTTTGTAAGGAGTGGGTAGTCTCATCCAAGTAGCTAACTCATCCGGAGACGTTTCCTCCGATGGGCCTTGCCTCTGTCCCACCTGGTTCCCGAGGAAGCGAGAACAGCTGAAATCAGTGGCTGTACATTCCAGACCCATCTAAAAGCTCTTTCGTGTGGGTGTGTTTTTATTATTAATGTTGGGATACGCTTTTGCACACTGGGCTCCCCGAAACTGCTAGGTCTGTAGGACTGTAATTGTGAAAGGCACTCGCTTGCAGCTTTAACAATTAGAAACTCCTCCCAAATAAAACTTGTCTTCCGGTGTGTGTGGCACTTTGCTTCCCTTTCAGGTTGGGGTCCACGTGGTGACCGCGTCGGAAAGGTGGGCATTCTGAGGAAGGGGCGCCAGTGTTGGAGGAAAGAGACAGGTTTCTGTGTCAACCCCTCACCCATTGCTTCATTCTCTCCAGACTCTCAGCCACCCCCTCCATCCCGGGAAAGCTGGACTCAGGACCGTGAACAGGGGTTTAAAAGGGTTAATGGTCCCCTCCAGCTCCTTCCGATGAGCCTG